ATAAATAGTATAAAAATATAATTTATTTTCTTTATAAAATTACATATATCAAATTAATTTAAATTTGAAACATATTTACATAAATAAAATATATTCAACCATTAATCTAATAAAATATTAATTATATAAATAGAAATTATATATAATCAATATAATGACTTATATAAATTATATTTAATATAATTAGATCTAAAATATTTTTTTATATTTGTTCTTATTTGGATAAAGTTAATATCTTTATAAGAATTAGTTACAAATGGTCTGTTTATCTAAGTCATAAATATTTTTTTTATACTTCAATGGTTTTTATAATTCAAACTTCAAAAATAAAATTTTATAAAAAATAAAAACATTTGTCCCATATTTAATATTTTTTAAAAGTGTAAGCGGGTGGCTGCTCCCCTTGTCCTGCGCTCTTGCCGTCCCTGCCTTTAGATATTATTGTTACGTAATGTCCTTTTTCTTTTCTTTTTTTTTTTTTATTTGATTAAGTATAAATTTGAAGAGGAAAATTTGAAATCAACGCCCAAAATAAAAAATGTCTTCCCTAAAATTTATAACTAATTAACTTTTTAGGGTAGGCGCACCTAGTGTCATCTCCCAGTTGCTTGCAAATAGCAATCGTGTGCCAACATGCACAGTTGTCGCACTAGTTGTGACGGTAAAGTGCACCCTTGAAAGAGTCCTTCCTTGGTAGGGAGTAGGGTTCAATTCATAGTGCTATGAAATAATGCCCTCATCTCCATTCAATTGTGTAGCTAAAAATTCAGGTAGTGGGGTTGAATTTTAAAATTACTAGTTTCTATATAAAATTATGAAATTTTAGTCTAAATTAGTTATATATTTTTTAATAGAATTAAAATTAATACTATATATTTTTAATCATAAATATTTTTAAAGATATTTTTATATTTTTAATTCTCACTTAAAAATAATTAAAAGCACATATCAAAATAATAATTTAAAATACAATACAAACAACAATTATTGAAATAAAAAATAATTAAAGTAACAATTTATATATTATCGTTTAACTAATTTTATTTTTCTTATTTTTCATATTTATCATCTTTCTCAACATCATAAAAGTATTATATGATAAATAAAGAGATAAGAAAATGAATGATATGAAATAAAATTTTTAAGAAAAAAAGATAAAAAAATAAAAAATAAAAGTTAAGTATTAAAAATAAAAAAAAGTTGAGGATCAAACTAAATTTAACTAAAAAATAGAGTACTAACATAACAACTCTTCAAAAGTCAGGGCCCCTATGCTTCTTAGGACCCCCGGGCCCCTATGCTTCTTAGGACCCCCTGGCCCCGCGCCTTTGCCCCCACCTCCCAAATATTGCCGATGCTGGTTCAGCCACGTTACCACTTAAATTAAAAGAATATGACTGAGAATTAAATTTTTTATGATTTTTTATATAATTTTATTTATTATTTAATCATTAATATTTTAAAAACAACTCTTCAAAAGTCAGGGCCCCTATGCTTCTTAGGACCCCCTGGCCCCGCGCCTTTGCCCCCACCTCCCAAATATTGCCGATGCTGGTTCAGCCACGGTACCACTTAAATTAAAAGAATATGACTGAGAATTAAATTTTTTATGATTTTT